CTCAATACCACTGAACTGTACACTTGATGAGAATTTTCTTCTTATTACTCTAATGGAATTCCCTGTATAGTCTCTAAACAAATAAGCAGCTATACTCCAGAAAGCAACACACTTGACATTATTGCACTGGAAGCCCCCACCCACATCAGAAGCTCCCAAACTCTACTTGAGAGAAAAGTAGAAAGGAAGGCCAAAAGTGAATGGAAATGCTTATATACATTGTACTGGGGGTCCTGGCCAGGGCAATAAGACAATTTTTTTTTTTAAAGAGCCAGGCATGGTGGCTCACACCTGTAATCACAGCATTTTAAGAGGACAAGGTGGAGGGTATCACTTCTGTCCAAGAGTCCCAGACCAGGCTTGAGCAATATACTGAGACCCTGTCTCTACAAAAAAGAAAAAAAAAAAGTCCAGATGTGGTGGTATATGCCTGTAGTCTCAGCTACTTGAGAAGTTTAGGTAGGAGGATCACCTGAGCCTGGGGAGATCGAGGTTACAGTGAGCCGTGATCGAGCCACTGCACTCCAGCCTGGGCAATAAAGTGAGAACCTGTCTCAAAAAAAAAAAAAATTAGTTGGGCATGGTGGCACATGCCTGTAGTCCCAGTTACTTAGTTATTTGGGAGGCTGAGGTGGGAGGACAACTTGAGCCCAGGAGTTTGGGGCTATAGTGAGCCATAACCACACAACTACACACTAGCCTGGGTGACAGAGCAAGACTGTCTCAAAAATAAAATTAATTTAATTAAAAAAAAAAAGATTAAGAAGGAAGATAAAATACTGTTTTGATTTGCAGGCAATATGATGATAAGGTCCTAAACGAATCTATAATTTAACAGGTCAAAGGGTATAATGCCAAAATACAAAAATCAATTGTATTTCTATATACAAGCAATAAACAATTGAAAATAGAAAAATACCGATTAGAATATCATTAAAAATATTTACCTAGGAATAAATTTATCAAGACATGTTCAAAATCTCTACACTGGGTTGGGTGTGGTGGCTCATTCCTGTAATCCCAGAACTTTAGGAGGCTGAGGTGGGAGGATAGCTTGAGCTTAGGAGTTTAAAACTAGCCTGAGCAACATAGTGAGGCATCTCTACTAAAATAAAAATTTTACTGAGGCTGGTCGATCACGAGGTCAAGAGATCGACACCATCCTGGTCAACATGGTGAAACCCCATCTCTACTAAAAATACAAAAAATTAGCTGGGCATAGTGGCGCGTGCCTGTAATCCCAGCTACTCAGGAGGCTGAGGCAGGAGAATTGCCTGAACCCAGGAGGTGGAGGTTACAGTGAGCCGAGATTGCGCAGTCGCACTTCAGCCTGGGTAACAAGAGCGAAACTCCGTCTCAAAAAAAAAATTTTTTTTTAATTAGCTGGACATGGTGGCATGTGCCTGTAGTCCCATCTACTTGAGAGGCTGATGTGGGGATCACTTGAGCCCAGGAGGTCAAGTCTGCAGTAAGCTTTGATCATACACCACTGCACTCCAGCCTGGACAACAGAGCGAGATTGTCGCAAGAAAAAAAAAAATTATATATATATATATATATATATATATATAAAATCACTGAAAATTCTAAAACTAAGTTGAGAGAAATTAAAGAAAACATAAATAGATACATAATCATGTGTTACTTAATGATAGCAATATGTTCTGAGAAATGTGCTATCAGGTGATTTTGCTGTGTGAACATCATAGAATGTACTTACAAAAACCTAGATAGTATAGCCTACTACATACCTAGGCTATATGGTATAGCCTGTTGCTCCTAGGCTACAAACCTGTATAACACGTTATTATACCAAATACTGTAGGTAATTGTAACACAATGGCAAGTATTTATGTATTTAATATATCTAAACTTAGAAAAGGTACAGTAAAAATATGGTATTATAATCTTATGGGACTACACTCCTATAAATATATGTGGCCAGTCATTGACCAAAACATCATTATGTGGCACATGACTATATATACCATGTTCAAGGATCAAAAGATTCAGTATTAAGCTGTCAAATCCAAGCTGGGTGTGGTGGCTAATGTGTATAATCCTAACACTTTGGGAGGCCAAGGTAGGTGTATTGCTTGAACCCAGGACAAGACCAGCCTGGCCAACATGGTGAAACCCTTTCTGTAGTAAAACTAAAAAAATTAGCCAGGTGTGGTGTAGCCTATAATCCCAGCTATTCAGGAGGCTGAGGCATGGGAATCACTTGAACCTAGGAGGTGGAGATTGCAGTGAGGTGGTGCAGTGAAGGAGGTGCAGTGGAGGTGGAGATCACACCACTGCACTCAGCCTGGGTGACAGAGCAACACTCTGTCTCAAAAAGAATATGAAACAAAGACAAAACCTAAAAGAACAACTACACAAAGGTCAGGTGGGCAGAGATTTCTTAGACTGGACACAAAAAGCAATAACCATAAAAGAAAAAAAATCAGTGATTTGGATTTCATCAACATTAAAAACTTTTCTTCAAGAGATACCATTAAACGAAAAGACAAGTCACAGACTGGCAGAAAATATTCACAACACATATCTCACAAAAGACTTGCATCTAGACTATATTAAGAATTCCTTGCAAATCAACTGGAAGTAAAAAAAAAAAAAAAGAATTCCTATAATCAATAATGGAAAGGCAAAAAACTGAATTAAAAAAATAGATAAATGCTTTGAACAGACATTTCATGAACATATACAAATGGCCAATAAACAGATGAAAAGGTGGTCAGTATCATTACTGTCAGGGAAATGTAAAGTAAAACCACAGTGAGATACCACTACATACATATCTACTAGTACAGTTAAAATTAAAAAGACTGAAAACACCAAGTGCTGATGATGATGTGAAGCAAATGCAACTCTTATAAACTGTTGATGAAAGCATAAAATGCTACAGCCACTTTAGAATACTTGTAGTTTCTAATCTAGTAAACCCTACAGCCTAGAATATTTTCACAAAAAGACCTGCAGAACAATGCTCATAATAGCTTTATGTATAATAGCCAAAAATTAGAAACGATCCAGATAACTATTAATAGAAGGACAGATAAATTAATAGTAGTATATTCATTCAGTGAAATACTACTCAGCATAAAAAGGAACAGATTTTAGTTATACTTTCTTTTTTTATTATTGAGACAGAGTCTTTCTCTGTCGCCTGGATGGAGTGCAGTGGCTCACTGCAACCTCTGCCTCCTGGGTTCAAGCAATTCTCCTGCCTCAGCCTCCTGAGTAGCTGGGACTATAGGCACGTGCCACTATGACCAGCTAATTTTTGTATTTTTTTTAATAGAGACAGGGTTTCACCACATTGGCCAAGATGGTCTCAATCTCTTGACTTGTAATCCGCCCGCCTTGGCCTCCCAAAGTGCTGGGATTACAGGTGTGAGCCACTGTGCCCGGCCTAGTTATACTTTCAATAACATGAATGAATCTGAAAAATATGTTGAACAAAAGAAGCCAGAACAAAATTGTATGACTGCATTTATATGAAGTTCATAAACAAAATTAATATATAGTGATAGAAAAAGAAGAGTAGTGGACTCTGCAAATGGGAGACATACTAGCAGAAGTACAAAGGAACTTTCAAGAGTGATGGAATTGTTCTAGATTTGGATAATGGCAATCTAGGGGTATATTTACTATCTGTGCATTTTACTGTGTACAAATTATTCCCCAATAAAAAGGGTGGGAAGGCTATTTACATATTTGAATTTTTTGTTTTATAGTACAAAAGTAGGTTGAAAGTAACACACCTGTTAAGTCACCAGAAATAACAGAAGAGTCTGCCTCCCATTTCAAGTAATATGGCAACAGCATAACAACTGAATTTTTTCCAAAGAAAAACAATTTTAGAACAATCTATAGTGCATGTTTCTCTGCTTATGGCCACAAACGATTGGGGAGACTATGTTCTCATGTGTGTATGCTCATTAGTTTCTTAACCAAAGATGACTAAAAGTTCAAATATTACATGGGACCTCTGTGAATTTTTGAACGTTCCTCTGTGCTTCTTTCTAGTCAATCCTCAACTGCAGAGTCAACTGATCCTCTGATTTATAGATTAACATTGCTTGTTCATTAATTTCATATAAATAAAATCTTTTGAGGTACATTTTGAGTATGTCTTTGTTTCTTTGAGACAGATTCTCACTGTTGCCCAGGCTGGTGTGTAGTGGTGTGATCTTGGCTCACCGCAACCTCCACCTCATGAGTTCAAGTGATTCTCCTGCCTCAGCTTCCCCAGTAGCTAGGATTACAGGTACATGTCACCACACCCAGCTAATTTTTGTGTTTTTAGTAGAGACAGGGTTTCGCCATGTTGGCCAGGCTGGTCTCAAACTCCTGACCTCAAGTGATCCATCTGCCTGGACCTCCCAAAGTGCTGTGATTACAGGCATGAGCCACTGTGTCTGGCCTAGAATATGTTTCTTTTTTTTAAATAAAAATGTACTATAACTCAAAAACACTGGAAACCAGTGACTATGACGAATGAATGTCTACATCTTTACTAGTAACCAAATCAAAGAGAAATTGAAGAGTACATGGGTAACAAGGTATATAATATAAAAATATATTAGAAAAAAAGTTTTATAAACTATAAGGCAGTGAGGGCCAGGGATGGTGGTTCACATCTGTAATCCCACTACTTTGGGAGGCCGAGGCAGGAGGATCACCTGAGGTCAGGAGTTTGAGATAAGCCTGGGCAACATGGTAAAATCCCATCTCTACAAAAAATACCAAATTAGCCAGGCATGGTGACACACACGCTGTAACCCCAGTTTCTTGGGAGGCTGAGGCAGGAGAATCACTTGAACCTGAGATCATAGCACTGCACTCCAACCTGGGTGACAGAGCAAGACTCTGTCTCAAAACAAAAAACAAACAAACAAACAAGAAAAAAACCAACAAAAAAAAGCTATAACGCTTTTTTTGGAAGATACTATTTGTCTTCAATAAACAAGAAGAGTCAAAAAATAGCTTTTCACCTTAAGTTTTGGATATATATAGCGCAAAGAATCTGCAGTTCCCATGTCAGCATCATCAGGAATACACACAACATCTGGCTTCATTTTCATCTTGAATTCTGCACATACAGCCTTTTGAACATCCCTGGTTGTAACCACGATGACTTCTATAGGACAAAAGAAAAGACAGACAAAAACTTATTCATATAGATGGTAGTTTCACTATTTTAATTAGATTTGGTCTATTTCTAGGTGTAATAACAACTGCTAATATTATTGTGCTTTTCAATGTGTTTTACCTGCATTCCCCCCAAATAATTCTTTTTTTTTTTTTTTAAGACGGAGTTTCGCTCTTGTTACCCAGGCTGGAGTACAATGGTGCGATCTTGGCTCACTGTAATCTCCACCTCCTGGGTTCAGGCAATTCTCCTGCCTCAGCCTCCTGAGTAGCTGGGATTACAGGCACGCGCCACCAACAGACAGGGTCTCACTTTGCCACCCAGGTTGAAGTGCAGTGACATGATCACTGGCTCACTGCAGCCTCAACTTCAGAGGTCAGGCAATCCTCTCCCACCTCAGCTTCCCAAGGAGCTAGCTGAGACTACAGGCATGTACCACCATGCTTGGTTAATTTTTGTGTTTTCTGTAGAGATGAGATTTTACTATGTTGCTCAGGCTGGTCTCCAGCTCCTGGGTTCGATCCATTAGACTGGGCCTCCCAAAGTGTTAAGATTACAGGTGTGAACCACTGCATCTGGCCTCCCCCAATTAATTCTTACAACAATCTCATCTTACAAATGAGGAACCCCAGATTAAAAGACATAAAGCTGGCTGGGTGTAGTGGCTCATGCCTGTAAGTCTTTTGTAAATCACTTTGGGAGCCAAGGCAGGTGGATCACTTCAGCCCAGGAGTTCAAGACCAGCCTGGGCAACATGGCAAAACCTTTTTTCTACAAAAAACTCCAAAATTGCCGGGTGCAGTGGCTCAAGCCTGTAATCCCAGCACTTTGGGAGACCAAGGCTGGTGGATCACGAGGTCAAGAGATCGAGACCATCCTGGTCAACATGGTGAAACCCCATCTCTACTGAAAATACAAAAAATTAGCTGGGCATGGTGGCGCGTGCCTGTAATCCCAGCTACTCAGGAGGCTGAGGCAGGAGAATTGCCTGAACCCAGGAGGCGGAGGTTGTGGTGAGCCGAGATCACGCCATTGCACTCCAGCCTGGGTAACAAGAGCGAAACTCTGCCTCAAAACAAAAAACAAAAAACTCCAAAATTGGAGGTTTAGGTGGGAAGATTGCTTGAGTCCAGGAGGTGGAGGTTGTAGTGAGCCAAGATCACCCCATTGCACTCCAGCCTGGGCAAGAGAGTAAGTCTGACTCAAAAAAAAAAAAAAAAACAATTCAGGTCTATATGACTGGTACCCACACTTTAATATATTGCATGCCACTTCTCCTTGATATGAAGAATTCAGAAGAACCTTCATCAAAAATACAAATGGGGACTGGGTGCAGTGGCTCATGCCTGTAATCCCAGCACTTTGGGAAACCAAGGCAGGTGGATAACTTCAGCCCAGGAATGCAAGACCAGCCTGGGTAACATGGTGAAACCCTGTCTCCGCCAAAAGAAAAAAAAAAGAAAAATATCCAGGTATGGTGGTGTGCATGTAGTCCTAGCTATTGGGAGGCAACCTACCTTGGAAGGATCACTTGAGCCCAGGCGGCAGAGGTTGCAATGAGCTGAAATCATGCCACTGCATTCCAGTCTTGGGTGACAGAGCAAGACCCTGTCTCAAAAAAAGGGGGCCATGTGTGGTGGCTCCCGCCTATAATCCCAGCACTTTAAAAGACTGAGACATGCAAATCACTGAGGTCTGAAGTTCAAGACCAGTCTGGCCAATATGGTGAAACCCTGTCTCTATTAAAAATACAAAAATATAAGCTGGGAGTGGTGTCACATGCCTGTAGTCTTAGGTTCTCAGGAGACTACAGCAGGAGAATTGCTTAAAACTGGGAGGTGAAAGTTGTAATGAGCTGAGATCATGCCACTGCACTCCAACCTGGGCAACAGGGTGACAAAATATTTTAAATTCATTCAATACAAAGAAAGAGCTATCAAGTTATCACCCCTTCCTATTGGAGGCAACTCTAATAATGGAATGAATACTGGATCACAAGACTAGGCCTCAGGCTTTGGCACCCTGATTTATTATATCTAAATATAGGGCACCTCAAACTCAATATGACCAAAGCTGAACTCATTATTTTCATTAAAATCTGTTCCTTGTTTCCTATTCCTTTTTCTACTTCATGGCATAATCATCTACCTAGTTACCCAAGCAAAAGTAGAAAGAATCACTAGATTTTAAGGTTCTAGAAGTCAGGGCCTGAGCTGTCTTTTCAATTCTGTGTACCTCCATGCTTAATAGATAACCTGGTACATAGTATCTCTATTACCTGGTACATAATATATATATGTTTTAAGTTTTTTTTTATAATAGAGATATTACCTAGTACATAATAGAGTCTCATCAACTACTGACTATGAGGCATTTAAGAGTCACAATCTGCTCTTTCTGATATTCGTACAGGGTTCATCTTGGATCATAGTGGACAACAGCTCCGTAACAACAACACTTAGTGCTATCCTCTCATCCTTTTTTCGCACAGCAATAGAGTACTCCTACATTCCTTATTTAAAGAGGCCAGTCTTCAGTCAATGAATTCTAGTTACCCTCTCTCACTATTATAATGCTGACAAATCATGGGGATCAAATCCCCTAAAAGTTTTATGAGTTCACAGCTCACTTTGTCATAGCTCACCTTCAAATCCAACACGCTCAAGCAGGTTCAATGGGTACCAAATTAAAGGTTTGTTCCCAACTGGAAGCAGAGGTTTGGGAATGCTGGAAGTTAGGTCTGTCATCCGAGATCCCCCACCTACTGCCATCACTACTGCTTGAAATTCCATTTTTACAAGCTACAAGAAAAAACACAGAAAAAACAATTAACAGAAAAAAACCAATGTAACAAAAATCAAAGCACACACACTACTAGCCTATTTTTATTTAGGTTACTGATACCCACTATGTCAAATGTATAACTCCCAACTCTAGCAATCAGAGTAAGAAAAGCTTAGCTGCAGATAAACATTATGTCTACCAATATATATTCTCAGTTCTATCCTTGGTAAAAGTGGGAGGATATGAATGAAAAAAAAATCTGGCCCTTGCCCTTGAGTTATTTACAATTAAGTGGAGAAGACAAATTCAGTAAATCACAATATATGTCATTAGTACCACAGATGAAATATATCAAAGATGCAATGGGCATACAATAAAGTGAACACCTAGTTTTCTTTGAAAACACAGGGAAGATTTTACAGGAAGGGATGCTTGAGCTGACTCTGAAGGACTAAGAGTTTACCGAGTAGGCTTCTGATGTGTGAATTTTTATTTTTTGAAAATATTACACTGGGTAAGGTGTCTCACATCTGTAATCCCAGCACTTTAGGAGGCTGAGGTGTGTGGATCACCTGAGCTCAGGAATTCAAGCCCAGCCTGGGCAGCATGCAAGACCCCATCTCTACCAAAAATGCAACAAATTAGCCAGGCATAGTGGCTCATGCCTGTGGTTCCAGCTATTTGGGAGGCTTAAGTGGGAGGATCACTTGAGCCTTGGGAGGCTGGTATTAAAGTGAGCCAAGATTGCACCACTGCACTCCAACCTGTGTGACAGAGTAAGATCTTATCTCAAAAAAAAAAAAGAAGGAAAATATTAAAAGATGTCTGACTACTAGAATTAACAGCAGAAACACAAGCATGTTAGGCATTTGAAAAGCATAAAATGACTTAAGTCTCCTCCAATAATTCAGCCATCGGCTCACCTTCTTACTCCTCCAATTATTAAAGATATCTATATCTGAACCTAGATTTACAGAACCCAATTATTAAAAACAAACCAAACTGTTAATTCCTGCTTTTCAAACTCAAGGTAATAAACCTATTTGACTTTGAAAATAATCTCTTTACAGAAACTACCACAGACCAGAGGCACAGTAAAAGGTCATAAATACTTATTTACTTATTTTTGGAGATGGTGTTTCACTCTTGTTGCCCAGGCTGGAGTGCAATGGCGCGATCTTGGCTCACCGCAACCTCTGCCTCCCACATTCAAGTGATTCTTCTGCCTCAGCCTCCCGAGTAGCTGGGATTACAGGCATGGGCCACCAGGTCCGGATAATTTTGTATTTTTAGTAGAGATGGGGTTTCACCATGATGGCCAGGTTGGTCTCAAACTCCTAACCTCAGGTGATCTACCTGATTCGGCCTCCCAAAGTGCTAGGATTACAGGCATGAGTCAGTGTGCCCAGCCATAAAAATTATTTGTTTAGAGACAGGCTCTCACTTTGTTGCCCAGTCTGGAAGTGCAGTGGCATGATCACGGCTCACTGCAGCCTCGACCTCCTGCCCCAGCCTCTGGAGTAGCTGGGACATGTGGGTGCCGCCATGCCTAGCTAATTCCATTTTTTTTTCTTCAATAAGATGGAGTTTCACACTTATTGCCCAGGCTGGAGTGCAGTGGCACAATCTTGGCTCACTGCAATCTCTGCCTCCCAGGTTCAAACGATTCTCCTGCCTCAGCCTCTCCCGAGTAGCTGGGACTACAGACATACGCCACCACACCTGCCTAATTTTGTATATTTAGTAGAGATGGGGTTTTTCTATGTTGGTTAGGCTGGTCTCGAACTCCCAACCTCAGGTGATCCACCCACCTTGGTTTCCCAAAGTGTTAGGATTACAGGCCTGAGCCACTGTGCCCAGCCGCCTGGCTAATTCTTTTAATTTTTTATAGAGATGGGGTTTCAATATGCCGTCCAGGCTGGTCTCAAACTCCTGGCCTCAAGCCTCCTCCCTGGGCCTCCCAAAGTGCTGGGATTAGAGGCATGAACCACTGCGCCTGACCAATCTTTAATGATTTAAACTGAAAGTACTCTTCTCTGATTTACAGCAATGATGTAATTTAAAAAATAAATGTTAAAATGTAACATTCAAAAGAAAGAATCTATTTGACATCAAATTGCCAAATAATGTTGCAACTTTACTATAATTATAATCACTCCTGGACCCCCCCATACACATCAACATCTAACGTGCAGCACTTATCACCTACTATACCCAAGGCACAAAGTGAAGGCTCTTGCATAACATTCACAATGTAAAGATATAGTCATTTTGATTCTAGCAAGCATTGCCTCAGACTGGAATTTAATTTCTCTTTGGTGCTATATAACATTCACCACATCTAATGTTATTATGAAGACCACTGGACCCTTAAGAGTCAAAGGATGGGCAGGGCGTGGTGGCTTACACCTGTAATGTCAGCACTTGGGGAGGCAAGGTGGGCGGATCATCTGAGGTCAGGACTTCAAGAGCAGCTTGGTGAAATTCTGTCTCTATTAAAAATATTTTAGGGCCGGGGGCGGTGGCTCACACCTGTAATCCCAGCACTTTGGGAGGCCGAGGCGGGCGGATCACGAGGTGGGCGGATCACGAGGTCAAGAGATCAAGACCATCCTGGTCAACATGGTGAAACCCCGTCTCTACTAAAAATACAAAAAATTAGCTGGGCATGGTGGCACGTGCCTGTAATCCCAGCTACTCGGGAGGCTGAGGCAGGAGAATTGCCTGAACCCAGGAGGCGGAGGTTGTGGTGAGCCAAGATCGCGCCATTGCACTCCAGCCTGGGTAACAAGAGTGAAACTCCGTCTCAAAAAAAAAAATTTTTTTAATTAGTCAGGCATGGTGGCGAGAACCAGTAATCCTAGGTGCTCAGGAGGCTGAGGCAGAAGAATCGCCTGAACCCCAGAGGTGGAAGTTGCAGTAACCTGAGATGGTACCACTTGCACTCCAGCCTGGGTGGCAGATCAAGACTCCATCTCAAAAAAAGAGGAGTCAAAAAATGGGCTGGGAGCAGTGGCTCATGCCTGTAATCCCAGAACTCTGGGAGGCCAAGGTAGGTGAATCACCTGAGGTCCAGAGTTCAAGACCACCTGGCAAACACGGTGAAACCCCATCTCTACTAAAACTACAAAAATTAGCTGGGCGTAGTGGCAGACGCCTGTAATCCCATCTACTTGGGAGGCTGAGACAGGAGAATTGCTTGAACCTGGGAGGTGGAGGTTGCAGTGAGCCGAGACCATGCCCTTGCATTCCAGCCTGGCGGACAAAAGAGAGATTGAGTCTCAAATAAAAAAAAGTGACTCACACTCCCAGCACCTTGGGAGGCCAAGATGGGAGGATTGCTTGAGCCCAGGAATTCCAGAACAGCCTGGGCAACATGGCGAGACCCCATCTCTATAAAAAATACAAAAAATTAGTCAGGTGTGGTGGTGCAAGCCTATAGTCCCAGATACCCTGGAGGCTGAGGTGGGAGAATCACCTAAGCCTAGGAGGTCAAGGCTATACACCACTGCATTCTAGCCTGGGCAACATAGTGAGACCCTGTCTCAAAAAAAAAAAAGAGTTAAAAGAAGAGTTTGAGTTATGATTCTACCACTCATAAGTGGTGTGATCAGGAGCCTGACATTTAAAACTCCCAGTGTCCTCAGCTTCTAGAAGGAAGCCCAGTGGTTAGGTTCACAGACCCTAGAGCCAGAATGCCTAGGTCTGAATTCTACCTCTACTATTTATTATTAGCTGTGCGAACTATGGAAAACTACATAACTTTTCTATGCCTCAGTTTTTTGCATTTTATAAGATGGGGATAATTATAGTTTCACTTCACAGAGTTGTTGTCAAGATTAAATTCAGGCCGGGCTTGGTGGCTCATGCCTGTAATCCCAACACTTTGGGAAGCGGAGGCAGGCAGATCATGAGGTCAGGAGATTGAGACCATCCTGGCCAACATGGTGAAACCCCATCTCTACTAAAAATACAAAAATTAGCTGGGTGTGGTAGTGTACATCTGTAGTCCCAGCTACTTGGGAGGCTGAGGCAGGAGAATCGCTGGAACCCAGGAGCGGGAGGTTGCAGTGAGCCAAGATTGGGCCACTGTACTCCAGCCAGGCAACAGAGCAAGACTCCGTCTCAAAAAAAAAAAAAAAAAAAAAAGATTAAATTCGTTATTCTATGTAAAGCAGACAAAATAATGTCCATCCTAGGAGAAGCACAATATAAGCAGTTGCTTTATTAGACAGAGACTAGATCAGGGATTCTGTACTAACTGAATCATGCTGCTTCATAATTCTGGTCTCTGCACTGATACTGTTCCTTCCTAGTCTGCCTTTCTCTATGTCTAGTAATCACCTACTACACTTTGAAGATAGCTCAAGAATCCTCTTGTCTACAAAGCCATTCCTAACCCTCCCCATCCCTCCAGAAGTGACTCCTTTCCCCAAAGTGCTTCCATTCTGCCATGTGCAGATTATCTTAGCCTTTATAGGGTTTCATTGCACATATGTGTTTAAATGTCTACTTAAGTGTAACATTGATGTCTCTTAAATGTCTGTACAACAGCCTATTTAAGAGTGACTTTCTTGGACTGTGTGTGGATCGTCACTGTATTCCCAGTTAGATGCCAGAAATCAGCATGGAACGAGGACCTGTGAACTTCACAACTGTCTAAGAGTCAAACTCAAACAGTGCACAAGGGCACTAGAACCCAGGTCACTAGGAACTGAGGTTCTGGCTCTCAAGGAGGCCCTGTGTGAAGAAAGGCAACCTAGGAAGCATGAATAGTTATCATGAACATAACTAATCATGATACCAGGCAGACTGTCAAATGCTCATGTCACTGCCATGATTATGGGTGATGGGAATCATGGCAACCAGTTTCGCTGCCTCCCAAGCTTTAGAGCGGGTGGTCACGGCATCTCAGAAATGCCTGCATCATAGCATTCATGCCTTTTCCAGTTGTAAATAGGTAAGAAAACTGCATCAGAATTGGTCTGTCATTCCACATGCGCTGCCTGAAGGCAGAGATCTCACTGCATTTCTCCTTGTTCATCGCCCTGCATCCAAACAACTAAAGGAAGACTGAATAAATGAATGAGGGACTTAGGTTGAAAAAGTGCAGGCACAGTGCTAAAGGCGCCTGGTACCGGGTCTAGTGCTCACTCGCTGTGACTCTGAACAGAACCTCCCCTCCCCGAAACTTCGTTTCTTTCTTTTCTTTTCTTTTTTGAAACGGAGTCTCACTGTTGCCCAGGCTGGAGTGCAGTGGCGTGAATTCGGCTCACGGCAACCTCCGCCTCCTGGGTTCAAACGAGTCTCCTGCCTCAGACTCTCGAGTAGTTGAGATTAGAAACTTAGTTTCTCCATCTGTTGCATCAGGTGGTTGGCTCAGATTCTCCACCAACCTCCCCTCTCCTTCGGACACAGACACACGGTCGGGTGGAGCAGGGAGTCAAGTTGGCGACTTCGGGGCTAAGCACCCCTTCCTACCCTTTCGGGTCCAGCTCGGCCCAGTTGGACAAGCCCGCCTCCCTCAGATGAGTGGCCCCACCGCGCTGCTCACCGGGGTCAGCCAGCTCGTGCGCGGCCTGGCAGGGCAGAAGTCACAGCTAAACCTCAGTTCCCCGCACGCCACAACCGCTCCCAGCGCTCCACACGCCGCCTCTGACTGACAGCCCAAAGGCGCAGGCGCGTGATGGCCGAGACGCTCGATGGAAAGCGCCGAGCAGACCCAAGGAGAAGGGACGAGCGCCGAGCGATGGATGACGGAGTGGAAGCCCTCGCCGCTGAGCGGTGGGGAGGCGGGGCCGGAGCCAACGAGGAGCGTTCGACCTGTGTGTCCCTCTGTCCATTAACACATTACTAATGCCTTTTCAGTATTCCCTCGCAGTGCAGGGTGCCAGGAACTCAGACAGAGCAACTCAGCCTCTTTACTCAGGGAGTTATTCTAGGACCTGGCTCCAAGTCCATTCTGTGAAAGACCGCTCATTCGGAGACGCAATTTTGGTTTGCGAGTGAAAAAAAATCACCAAATGCTCTTGCAGGGGTTGCCGGGGCTTCCTATTTGTAAGACGTATAACATCGCCACTCACGTTAACTTTAGCTATCAAAACTGGGAGCGGCTGGCCACGGTGGCTCACGCCTGTAATCCCAGCAATTTGGGAACCCCAGGTGGGAGGATTGCTTCAGGCCGGGCGTTTCAGATCAGCCTGGGCGAACGAAACTCCCGTCTCTATAAAAATAAAAATTAGCCTGGCATGGTGGTGTGTGTCTGTAGTCCCAGCTGCCCGGGAAGCTGAAACGGGAGGATCGCTTGAGCCCAGGAGTTCGAGGCTGTTGTGAGCCATGATCCGGCCACTGTATTCCTAACTAGGTAACAGAATGTGACCCTGTTTTTTTGTTTTGTTTTGATTTCATAATCATAAACTTAACTCTGCAATCCAGTTAGGCATGGAAGGGCACAAGGAAAACATGGAACCCAAAGGGAACTGCAGTGAAAGCATAAAGATTCTAGGATACTCTGAGCAAATGGAATGGAGGGGTGCTTCCCTGAGCTGCGGAAGGAATGGTCTGGTGGTTAAGATAAAACACAAATCAAACTTTAGAGTTGTCCATAGTCAGCAATGGTGATCTTGCTGGTCTTGCCATTCCTGGACCCAAAGAGCTCCATGGCCTCCACAATATTCATGCCTTCACTTTGCTGAAGACCACATGCTTACCATCCAGCCACTTAGTCTTGGCAGCGCAGATAAAAAACTGGAAACCATTTGTGTTGAGTCCAGTATTTGCCATGGACAAAATGCCAGGATCTGTATACTTTATGATGAAGTTTTCATCATCAAATTTCTCCCCATAGATGGACTTGCCACCAGTGCCATTATAGCATGTGAAGTCACCACCCTGACACATAAACCCTGGAATAATTCTTTGAAAGCAGGAACCTTTATAGCCAAATCCCTTCTCTCCAGTGCTCAGAGCATTAAAGTCTGCTGTCTTTGGAATCTTGTCTGCAAACAGCTCAAAAGAGACACAGCCCAAGGGCTCACCATCGACAGCCATGTCAAAGAACGTGGGGTTGACCATGGCTTATAAGGGGCTCCTGGTGGCAGCCAAGACCCTGTTTTTAACAAAACAGTAATAGGCCAGGGGTGGTGGCTCATTCTTGTAATCCCAGCACTTTGGGAAGCAAGGTGGGTGGATCCCTTAGGCCCAGGAGTTTGAGACGAGTCTGGGCAACATAGTGAAACACCCTCTCTACCAAAAATACAAAAATTAGCTGGGCATGGTGGCATGTGCCTGTAGTCCCAGCTACTCAACAGGCTGAGGCAGGAGAATTGCTTAAACCCGAGAGGCGGAGGTTGCAGTGAGCTGAGATTGTGCCACAGAGAATGAGACTTAGTCTCAAAAGGAAAAAAAGAAAAGAGAGCGAGAGAGAGACATGTACTCAGGCCATGATTTAATAAAACTAATATAATTTACTAAAGACTTTAAGTGTAACTGACTTTATTTATTTATTTTTGAGACAGAGTCTCACTATGTTGCCCAGGCTCAAGTACAGTGGCATGATCTCGGCTCACTGCACCCGCCACCTCCCAGTTTCAGGCAATTCTGCCTCAGCCTCTTGAGTAGCTGGGATTACAGGCATGCGCCATCCATCTAATTTTTGTATTTTTAGTGGAGACGGGGTTTTCACTATGTTGGTCAGGCTTGTCTAACTCCTGACCTCAAGTGATCCACCTGTCTCTGCCTCCCAAAGTGCTGGAATTACAGGCATGAGCCATCGTGCCTGGCCATTTTTTTTTTCTTTGAGACAGGGTCTTGCTCTGTTGACCAGGCTGGAGTGCAGTGGCATGATCTTGGCATGCTGCAACCTCTGCTTCCTCAGCTCAAGGGATCCTCCCATTTCAGCTTTCCAAAGTGTTGGGATTACAGGGGTAAGCCACTCTGCCTGGCCTTAATGTTTATTGTTTATTTTTATTTTATATTTATTTTTTAGTGCCACAGTGCAAGCCTGAGGCACTAAAAAATAAAATGACTATTGGCCGGGCGCGGTGGCTTACGCCTATAATCCCAGCACTTTGGGAGGCCGAGGCGGGTGGATCACAAGGTCAAGAGACCGAGACCATCCTGGTCAACAAGGTGAAACCCCCGTCTCTACTAAAAATACAAAAATTAGCTGGGCATGGTGGTGCATGCCTGTAGTCCCAGCTACTCAGGAGGCTGAGGCAGGAGAAGTTTGAACCGAGATCGCGCCATTGCACTCCAGCCTGGGTAACAAGAGCGAAACTCCGTCTCAAAAAGAAAATAAATAAATAAATAAAATAAAATGACTATTAGTATAGTTTGGTGCCACTGCTTTGATTCATGCTCAATAAAGCACCAGAAGTTTTACCTACCATTGCTTTGGCACCATCAATGCAAATATCAATATGATGAAAATGGTAAATATATTTTAATATTATTATGAAAATAGTTCTGACCTGACAGATCCCTTGAAAGGGTCTTAGGAATTCCCAGGAACCCATGGAGCACATTTGAAGAACTTCTGCCTTATGGATTCCTCCTGGTTCTTACTGCTTCTAGTACTTACATTATGGCACTCATAAAAGACTGTCACCCTCACAGGGTGCTGTGGCTCATGCCTGTAATCCCAGCACTTCAGGAGGCCAATGCAGGCAGATCACAAAGTCAGGAGATAAAAGACCTCCTGGCCAATGTTGTGAAACCCTGTCTTTACTAAAATACAAAAAATTAGCCAGGTGTGGTGTCACACACCTGTAGTCCCAGCTACTCGGGAGAGGCAGAGGCAGAGAATCGTTTGAACCTGGGAGGTGGAGGTTGCAGTGAGCCGAGATCATACCACTGCACTCCAGCCTGGCGACAGAGCAAGACTCTATCTCAAAAAAAAAAGATTGTCATCCTTTTTTCCATGTCTTCTCTATCACACTAGGAGCCCCTTGAAGATAAGTGCTTTATCTTATTTGTTCCTCTCTCCCCAGGACCTAGCATAGAACTTGGGACATGCTAAATGAATAATATTGGATGAACTGAAATCTCATTTATTTTCCCTTGACTTCCCATTTGGTGGTGGGAAAACTGGGTTGAGAGCCAGGTCACTGACAACATCTCTTACCCTGAACTTTCCTCCTCACTGTCAATCCATATTATTATCCATGCCTAGCCCCATGCTTATTATTATTATTATTTATTAAGTACACAGGAAATACTTAATAAATGCTTATTAAATACAGGGTATTCCCTAAAATGTTTGTTTCCTCTTTACAGCAATTATTCTCTAAGGGAGATTTGTGCATATATATGTGTGTGTGTGTTTGTGTGTTCATATGTGGTGGGGGAATAATTTAACAAGGCCAAGCTCTCTTAACTGTAAAAGACAAAAGAAACCTTTCAAAATTTGGGCCTTGGCTCGCTAACACTCTTCCCACGGTCTGCTAAAGATCTCTCTGGGAATTTGCTGGCCACCTCACAATATTCATCTACTCCATTTGGCCAGAGACTTGTCAGTGGGGCAGAGAATTATTGTTTTTAGAGTAGTGAATGAAAGATAAAATAAAAAAAATTCCACTTTGGCAAACACTTGCACATACTAAAATATTTGCATTTTATTGATTGATTGAGATAGGGTCTCACTCTGTCACCCAGGCTCAAGTGCACTGGCATGATCACAGCTCACGGCAGCCTTGACCTGCTGGGCTTAAGTGATCTTCCCACCTCAGTCACCAGAGTGGCTGTGACTACAGGCACCTGCCACCTTGCCTGGTTAATCAAAAAAAATTTTTTTGTAGGGGCAAGGGCTCACTATTTTGCCCAGGCTGGTTTCAAATTCCTGGGCTCAAGAGATCCCTCCTTCCCTGCCTCAGCCTCCCAAAGAACTAGAATTACAGGCATGAGCCACCACATCCAGCTTTGCATTTTATTTTGGTATGTAAGCCCAGTAACTGCTCAAAAGATCCATGATAAGTTAGAGATAAAATGATGCTACAGTATTTAACAAAAGGAGCTTGGAAAGAGTCTTCATTAATTAGAACTTTAGTATTTCTTTTCAAGCACGCAGAATTTTCTTCATTGGTGGTTTTAAAGGTCAGAATTGGGGCATTCATGCTCTAAACTGGTGAATAAAATTTTTTTAAAAAGTGATTTGGCCAGACGCGGTGGTTCACGCCTGTAATCCCAGCACTTTGGGAGGCCGAGGCGGGTGGATCAAGAGGTCAAGAGATCAAGACCATCCTGGTCAACGTGGTGAAACCCCGTCTCTACTAAAAATACAAAAAATCAGCCGGGCATGGTGGCATGTGCCTATAATCCCAGCTACTCAGGAGGCTGAGGCAGGAGAATTGCCTGAACCCAGGAGGCGGAGGTTGCAGTGAGCCGAGATCGTGCCATTGCACTCCAACCTGGGTAACAAAAGTGAAACTCCGTCTCAAAAAAATAAATAAATAAATAAATAAATAAAATACAAATGAATAAAGAATAAGTGATTTAATCAATTTGGTGATTTTTTCTCCTTTATTGAAAACGACTTTTCAACTGGCTGATTTTTCCCTTGTTTTTTAAATTGGAGCCCAGCACAGTGGCTCACACTTGAATCCCAGAACTTTGGGAGGCCAAGGTCAGAGGATAGCTTAAGCCCAGGAGGTGGAGGTTGCAGTGAGCCTAGATTGTACCACTGCACTCCAGAGTGGGAAACAGAATGAGACCTTTTCTCAACAAACAAACAAAACCCGAAAACCGTTAACACTCAGAAAGAATTACCTTATGATCCAGCAATCCCACATCTGGGTATATATCCAAAGAAATTGAAATCGGAATGTTGAAGAGATATCTGAACTCCTACGTTCATTTCAGCATTATTCAATAGTCAAGGAAGCAACCTAAGTGTGTATCAGTGGATAAACAGTACACGCGTGTGCGCGCACACACACAC